CCAATCAAAATCAAGAATCTATTCGTAGATCATTCTAGAATGCGATTTCCTAATTTGGTATATTCCCAGACTGAAATGTAACCTTAAAGAAGCAAAAATATTAGCAGAGGCAGTTGATAAAAATACATCATTATTCTTACTAAAAATTGTTCTTCCAATCATTAACGTCTTGTTTTTTTTTTTTTTTTTTTTGAATATCTAATTTTAGTAATAATTTAAATCAAGTAATCGAACAGAACAGCATTAAAATAGTAGGTGTTAATTTGACTTGTAAATATTTTTATTAAAAGTAGAGATTTATAGTTTTTCTTTTCATGTAAAAAAATAATCTGGGTATTAATTTTTATTTTGAATAATAAAAAATTATAATCTCAAAAAAAAACAAAATATAAATTACTTTCATTAAAAAAACACATTTAATTCTCGCTACACTAAGACTAATCTCAAAAAAATAAATTTAAGTTACACGCGAAATTCTGTCGCTTATAATAAATCAATAAAAAAGGGGTTTCAAAAACTAAAAATCAATTTCGAAGCACCTTTAATTCATATTATAACGTTACATTAAAGCAGTGTCTAAAATTCAATTTTAAATTAGTTGTGGGCTGCAACTAAATAAAAAAAATAGTTGCAGATTATAAGAATTTAAAAAAATATAGTTGCGCGTATAAGCATTTAATCAAACTTTATAAGTAAAATTTGCAAATTTATGTGCAGAATTTGCATATGCACTTCAGGTTTTGGTTGCGGAAATTTAAAATTTGTTGCGGTCCGCAGATTCCGCAACCCAATTTCAGACACTGTATTAAAGTGTTAATTAGTACTGGCTACAACAATGCTCGTGATTTTTGTTGAAAATCAAGTTGTTGCGCTTGGATGAAGTTTGTGATTTCTAAAAGTTGCCTTTTAACGTGACACACTTCTTGATAAACAATTTCTATTTTTTGCTTATTTTCTGCGAGAGTTTCGTTCATTGACTATATGGTTTAGATTAGTAATTATTTTATATGATCACGTTAAATAGACGTAGTCTACTTTACAACCTTAACTGCGTCAACAAGATCATCTCTTAAGCTAATAATTTTTGTTAATGCTTTTCATATTTGCTTATAATAAAACAAGACTTTCTATTATATTTTACTGATGCAACTATTGGTTAACAAATTAATTTAAAAACGATAATGGTTTGAATTGAAAGTTTCTTTTTGTAATGCGAATATTTCAATATATAAATGTAAATTAAACAAACTCTTTTATCCAATTACGCCTTTTAATTAATCTAATTGAATAAAATGCTAGTTATTGTGCTAAATATCTTTTAATAAACAAAAAAGTCAAGAAAATTTCAGAAGAAGCAATCCGAAATGTGAACCATTTTCCATAAATTTCTCATTCAACTATAATTAAACTAATAATTAGCTTATTTATAATTAGCTTATTTATATTAATTGTAAATCATTAGTTTATTATTAGTTTATTTATAATTTGACAGCAATATCGTAAAGTCAAGAATTTTTTATTAAGTTAACAATTCAATATATATAATTTTTAAAATTGTATTGTCAAATAACCCTCTCTCTGTCAAACTATAAATTTTTAGGGTTCTTTATTTATATTTTTTAATATTCGGTTAGGCAGCATCCACAATTTACGTTAAACCAGTATTGTTATAGATAATACTATGGCACAGTACTAGTTTAACGTAAATTGTAGATGCCGCCCAAGTATTCTGAAAAATTTTTTTTCCAGGTCAAATAGAAATTCAAACCTAAATTCACGTGATTTATTATTTATCGATTAAAACTATACATTCGTATATCCTTCATCCAATACAACTAATAAATAAAATTTAGAATTGACATGTGATAGCTTTGACTGCTATTGCATTAAAAAAACAGCAAACAAAAAAATAAACCATTTCGCTGTATAAGGAATTGTGGATACACGCAAAACTAATCATGTAAAACATAAGCCAATCAACTGTTACAATTAAATATTCAATAATATTTAAGGAAATAATTGAATTCTCTTAAACCAGTTCAAATCAGATTACTTAATTTTAATGTCGTATTAAGAACTTTTTAATATCAGATATTGTATTATTGAAATTTAATTTATTTAAACACTTAAATTAAAAAGTTATGATTGATTAAGAATAAAAAAAAATTAGAAATAAATAATATTTATATAGAAAATTAATTCATGAAATCTTCATTCTATAAAAACTCAATATTTCATTTCCTAACAAACCAACTTTCCGAACAATGTCTTCATTTAAGAAACCTTGTCATGTTTTTGCAATGGGATTGGCCAGCGTGAATTATGTAACATACAAATTAGAGAAGTACAAGCTGAAAAAGATGAAGGGTGAGATAAAGATAATCATCGATTACTGAATTATTGTAGTATGGCAATAACAACTTTCATTTGCTTGATTTAATAATCTAAAACCAATATTAAAAAATAAGCAATAAATTTGGCTAATTATAAGTAAATCAAATGTTACTTACAATCGGGAACTTCAACATATTTAATGCGTTGACTGGGTTGACTTGCTAAAATACATACATATAAATATACCAAAACTACAATTTAAATCCAATTTAAGAAAATAAATATTGTTACCTGTATTTACTATATTGGCAGATTCAGAAATTTTTATAATAATAATATAATACTGCTTTTTTTTTAAAAAAAAAACAAATAAATGTTATTACCTGGTTTAGGAAGTTTTGAAAGATTCAAAGATCGACTTGTATAAATAGCTTGTGGATGTGTCTGATATTTAACTTGATCATATGTTAA